TCAGTTGACCTATCTATTGAAGATAGGGTGTATTGATGTCACCTAGTATTACTGAGTTGGGGTTAATCTGTGTTTTATAGGTAGGCCTGGAATACTGTTTTTATGAAATTGGGTGCACCAGAGATTGGTGAATCTGTATTCATGATCGTAATCTTCTTATCAGTTGTTTCTTTGATTAGACTGAAGTGACCCTCTTTACGTATTCTGATTAATTTTAGTTTGAAGTCTATATTTTCAAATATTAGAATTGTAACACCTGCTTGCTTCTTAGAGCCATTTGCTTGGAATATTTTTTTCCATCCTTTCACCTTAAGTTAGTGTCTATCCTTGAAAGTGAGATGAGTTTCTTGAGGACAACAAAAAGATGGGTTTTCTTTCTTGATCCATTCAGTTAGCCTACGTCTTTTGATAGGGGAATTGAGGCCATTGATATTTACTGTTATCATTGAAACATGTGTATTGGATACTGTCATTTTAACTTCCTTGTGTTTGTGGCCATATTCCTTGTTTCTGTTATTTTACTTTTTTGTTTGTTTTCTTCCTGTAACTGCTTGAGTTGACTTATTCCTGTCTTTGGTCCTTTGTATTGCTTCAGGTGTTCTCTGTAAGGCTAGTTTGGTGAACATGAATTCCTTCAGTCTGTTCATGTCATGGAAAATTTTCTGTTCCCCCTTTGATTACGTTAGATAGTTTTGCTGGATAAAGTATTTAAGGTTGGCATCCGTGGTCATTTAGAACTGGGACTACTTTGGTCCAGGCTCTTCTGGCTTTCATAGTTTTCATGGAAAAGTCAACTGTATTTCTGATGGGTTTTCTTTTATATATAACTTTTTGTTTTGCTCTAGCAGCTTTCAGTACCCTCTCTTTGTTCTATACATTTAATGTTTTTACTATGATATGCCATGGGGAGTTTCTGTTCTGGTCATGTTCAATTGATTTTCTATGTGTTTCTCTTAACTCTATAGGTAAGTATTTCCTTAATTTAGGGACTTTCTTCTATAATCCTGTTGATGATTTGGTGAGTGCCATTGACCTGAGATTCTTTCCCTACCTGTATGCCAATGTTGTGTAGATTTAGTCTTTTTATGTTGTCCCACATTTCCTGCATATTCTATTTGTGTGTGTGTGTGTGTGTGTGTGTGTGTGTGTGTGTAATTTTACATAGTCTTAGCTTAAGGAGTCCAGATCTTCAACTTTGTCATCCAGTCTTGATATTCTGATTTCCATTTCATTCACTGAGCTTGTGAGACTTTCTCCTGTTGTTTCCCATTTACTTATTGAGTTCTTCAGTTCCATGTTCATTTTGGTTTGGGTTTTCTTGAATATTTCTATCTCTTTGTGAATTCATTTTTCAAGTCCTACATTTTTTAATATCTCATTAGCTGCATATTTGTATATTCTTGAGCTTTCATCACAGTTTTATGCCTTTTCTTTTTGAGTTCTTTGAGTTGTTTGTATTTTCTTTAAGTTCTTTGATCATATTTATGATTGTTCTCTAAATTCTGCATCCTAGGATTCCTCAGCATAGTTCTCATTATAGTGCGCTGCTGTAGGACTAGTGGAATTTATTAGGGACATATTCTCTTGGTTTTTCATGTTTGTGCACTGTGCTTTGGGCATATGGATATTCTTTGGTGGTGGTGTGTCCAGTAGGAACTTTTGTACTGCCTTTCTTTAATTGAATTTTGGTTCTGTTTATACTATTTATGTAGCTTGGTTGCTTTTTGCTCAGGTATGAAAAATAAATTGGTGTGTTCTTTCAATATAGGAGACTGGTCTGGGTAGTAGTAGGTAGGCTGGTCAGGGTAGTAGGTGGGCTGGGCTATGTCAGACAGATCAGGAGCCAGTAGAATCTAGGGGATTTAACTAATCTGGGTTAGGAGGGTAGTCCAGGGATCAGAGGCAGAGAAATTGGAGTGAGCCTCAGTCTAAGGCTATCAGGGGACAGGATGGGGGTGGAGTAAGTTGGAAGTGTTGAGGCTGTAGAGGAATGGAATAGAGATGCTGTGGGTAGGATCTGACTTAACCAGAGTCCTAGGTGGGCCCATCTGTCAGGCAGGTCAAGAGCTAGTGGAAGATGGGGGTGGGGAGCACCTGAGGAGGGATTTAAGATTCTATGCTAGGGGATTTAGCTAGTCTGGGTTAGGAAGCTAGTCCAGGGATCAGATGAAGAGGAATTGGAGTGGCCTGAGTCCAAGGCTAGCAGGGGACAGGGTGTGTGTGGAGTACGTTGATAGTGTTGAGGATGGAGAGGAATCGGATTTGTGTTTTTAATTCAGGCAAAAGTTGGGAGCTGTCAGCATTTGGATTGTATTGAAGGCTGTAGGACCAGATGGGATAATTAAGATGGGGAAGAAATGAGACCAGGAATGGGAGCTGTTTAATAAACCCTGGGACATTTTAGGGTTTATTAAAAAGGGATATGTAAGAAGGAATGACAGGAGGAAATCCAGGTGATCAGTGCAGAAGATATGATCAGGTAATTTTCTGTGGAGACAGTAGTTGACCTGATGGTTTCAATTTGTCTTTAAGATAAGATGATATAAATATATATACATGCTTATAGAGACAGTCCAGCAATTGGAAGACAGAGGAGGAAAGAGATGATTAAACCATTAGCAAGCCCTAGGCAGACATGAGGAAGCTATGTGATCAAATGCACAGTGCATCTTTGCTGAAGTCTTTAAACATCAGAGAGTGTGGCACATTTGTTCTTAAATTACTGACTGTGTATCCTGGCCTACTGCACAATTACAGAATGGTGATAAAGGTTACTTGCAATCAGAACAAATGCTGATTTCCCCCCCCCCAAAAAAAAAAGAAAGAAAGAAAGAAAGGAAAGGGAAAGCTCATTTATATGGCTCTGGGTGCAGGGAAATTGGTATATCTCATGGTGGGAAAATTTTATACTTAAGTGATTAGTAATGATTTTGTAAGTAAAATCACTGAGTTCACCAATTATGAGACAGGAAAGGCGATTGGAAGTGTCAGGATGGAGGAAAAGTGAGAAATAATATGCAAATAATGAGGAGACAGTTGTGAGCGGTGCTGTTTACTGCTCCCTTGAAGGTGGAGAGTAAATGTGCAGTGAGAGCAATCTATAGAATGATGCATATTTTTCTTTCATCAGTGAGGAAGTGCCCATTGAAATAGTGGAATTTCACTGAACTAAGTCAGGGGTCTGCAAAGAGAACTATAGTGGAGGGAGAAGACATAGGTCTTGACGATGATCACAAGGAAGTGTTTGCTATGGAATCGAAGCCATGCTACAAAAGAAATAGGGGGGAAGCCTTCGAAGTATGGGTATGGTATGGGAAGTATGGTATGGGAAAATCTATTAGAGGATTCAAAGAGGGTTCACAGCAAGAAAGGAAGAGAGCAGGAGAGAGAGGGAGGCCAAGGCTAGATAATGAGAAGCAAAATTGGAGGTTTAGGTTATGGTGGTTGGTTATGGCAATGAGAGTTCCATTCTCAGCTAGGCAGCCACTTGTATGACTTTGGAATCAGTTACCAATAGCTATAAATGTTAAATGAGAACATTTAAATAGACCTGGAGACTTCTGTTCCCCCCCTCACCCCCGCCCGATATATTATAGCATATCCATGGCACCTCAGTAGTTTGAGAGCTTAGTTCACAAAATTGCCTAGTTCTTTCTTGGCCCACTTTCTGTCAGCTTTATTTGTTGGGGACATTCCAGTTATAGAACATAGATGGTATTTTATCCATGTTTAGGACCAGGCCATAAAAATAGCATTGTGAAGTTGTAAGTTTTTCTGTGATTGAACTATTATATAATCTACCATTATAGCTTTTCTGAATTGAGGCAGATTCTTCAGTCAAATTCAGGGGTGTACATTATCCACAATTATCGCTTCAATAATTGAACTTTTACTAAGTGAGCATTACATTAATTGATGCATTTATATTAATTGATGCATGTATATTGATAATTACAAAGTATGCCCCTCAATATAAATTAGCAATTACAATATAATAGATACACAGTAGAAATTTGTAGAAGTAAATTCTTTACTGTAAAATGATATGTAAAAATACTGCAACATAAGAAGAATTTGTTGATATGTCTTAAAATTTAAGGAAAATAGAGTAGGTTTTCAGCATATGTAGTTTACCAAATAGCTTTTATTTCATCAAATATCTGTAAACTTCTCATATTGTACTTGATATTCTGTTCTTATTTATAGACTATTGTCTGAAAATCAATTTGATTTTCCCAACTTCTGAAAAGTTAATCTACTCTGAGGAGTAGAAAAAATTCTGTAAAGACTTTTCTCAGGGATTAATCACTCAAGAGCTTACATTTTTTATCTCTGGGCATTTATCCCCTGTTGCAAAATTAACTTTTCTCCAGTCATATCTGTAATGGGCTGGAATGCAGGGTCAATAATTTGAGAACAAATGTTCCGCACTCTGTTATACAATGATTTTCAGTGTAAATGTGTGTGTGTGTGTGTGAAGGTAACATTTCTTAGAAACTCAATTGGATGAAAAAGTAAAATTTTTCAAAAGGTCATGAAGTAAGACTAATTTTTTGTTTTTTGGATAGCCTTGCCCTAGGTAGATTTGAGATATATAAGATCAAATTATTTTCACATTAAAATCACCTTTGGTGTAGGGAGCAAATAAATGCATAATTCTTTGATCACAGGGTCTAGAAAATGTAGACAGGTATATTATTTTTCCCTTAAAAGAGTTTTGCTAGTTTCCTTCAGTGTTTCTCCCTATTTGGTTTGATAAGAAGTACAGAAGGCATGTGTTTGAAAGTTAGAAATTGAACTGAGACCGCAAAGCTCCATTCACTTAAGAGTTCCGTGTCTTGGAGCCATGTCCCTGTCAGAGTCAATGTCGAAGTGATTACAAATGGCATTCTCATGGAAAGCAGATTATTTGGCTTGATTGTATAGGGGAGCCAAGTGACTAATGTGGCATACCACATAATGAAATCACACACCAACAGTACACAATTGTGTTTCCACAGCACGAGAACGATATATGGCCTCCAGCTGGAAAAGAACGGAAACGTTCAATAACCAAAAATCCCAAAATTGGTGGTTTGCCTCTGATTCCCATCCAACACGAGAGAAATGCAAACCAAGCCCGGAAGAATATTGAGGTCAGTTAAGATTCTCTTGTTCTCATAGTAACTTACACTACTTATTTTCGTATGTCTTAAGGTGACTGAGTGCATTAATTACCTCATTCTCTTTGAAACATACTGGTAGTCATTTTGAAAAGCAAACTAATAACCTACATGAGGAGAACATACCAGTGACCCTGTGCCGCTTGTTCATACAACTGACCCCTCCAGGGCTGCATGCCTGATAAGTAGCCAAGCAAATTTACATCCTGATAAAGAAATTCTGGTGGCAACATGAGCCTCAAATCATTTTTATATAACTACTTAGAACACATTTAAAGTGAATATGGAATAAAGGATGTCTGGACCATGGGAGATTTTCTAGCGTCACAGTCAAGAACCAGTGGTTTGGAAACCAGTGAGGTGCTTTACTTATAGGAACCACAGAATGACCTGAGTATTCATGCAGACTATTTGGAACTTTTCATGAAAACTACTGATTGTTTTCTTGACCACCTTATGGAGTGGGGGAACATAAGCAGTGTCCATCTTGGCATGTAATACCATCTCTCAGGAAAAAGCATGGGCTGTTTACTCTCAGAAATCATTAGCCACTTTAGGAAGATACATGTCTCAATACCTTCACTGAGTTCATTGAGTCTCTCAAAGGAAAAGAAAAAAAAAACTGTTTTAAAAGTTCTATCATGGGGCTGGACAGATGCCTCAGAGATTAAAAGCACTGACTGCTCTTGAAGAGGACAGCATCCACATGGTAGCTAATAACCATCAGTAACTCCAGTTCTGGGGAATCCTATACACCTCTTCTGGCCACCATGGATGTTGTGCAATATGGGTACACTTACATACATGCAGGCAAAACACTCATACACATAAAATAAAAGTAAATAAATTTTTAAAAAAATGTAAAGGTTATATCATACATCCTTTTCCTTAAATTTGAGACTAGGCTGTTAGAATCTTTCGAAACAAAATAACTTCTGCAAGGCTAAAGGCAATCTAATGATAAGGTCATAAACATGTTTTTTATCCTGTACTTGCATGTAGTTGAATGCTGGCCTACTCTGTCTTCCAGCATTGTTATAATCTGAGGAAAGATTAAATCCCCAAGAAATTATAAGTGCTCCTCTGTCCGTTCTGCACCTACAGACTTTCGGCTCTCTGGGGCTTTTTCTACTCTCCAGAGCTGTGTTCCTTAACTCACCTAGAATCTTAAAATGCTGAGTCATTTCTAACAGGAACTGAAGCCAAGGAAACACAGGTTGATCCAATGAAGCCATGTAGGGTCTCCATATGCCCTCCGGTGACCTCGCCCTCTCCTGACACTGCCTTAGGACCAGATGAGGAATAAAGAAAGGATAAACATTTAGGATCAAAATACATTAACCAGTATCAGCTCTAGATAATTAAACCTACAACAGTTTATTTCCTAACCCCTAAACCATAATTTTCAGCATGATATTAATGTGTTTTAAGATGAAAAACTGCTGAGCGGAAGCTGTGAAGAAATTATTAAAGGTTCTTAGAATAATTCTATGAAATTTTAATTGCTAGAAAATATATGAGTTGTTACAATAAACCAAACATTACAAACTTAATAAATGTTATTCAACAAATTTGGAAAAGACATTTTAAATATGTCCTAATGTTGAAAAACACATAGTTTTTTTAAAGGGTATCAAAGCAAACCAACTTAAAATACATTTTCTTTTTTTTGTTGTTGTTTTTTGGTCTTTTTGAGACAGGGTCTCCCTGTAGCCCCAGCTGTCCTGGAACTCACTATGTAGACCAGGATGGCCTTGAACTCACAGAGATCCGCCTGCCTCTGCCTCCCTAGTGCTGGGATTAAAGGCATGCGCCACCAGCCCGGCTAAAATACATTTTCATTCAAATCATGCAAACTTCCTTGTGGCTTTCTTTCCCCACAATGTGCAACATGCAGGCCCCAACTCAAACTATATGAGTCATGAAAACACTCATGGTCTTCTGTTCTCTCTTACTTTCCCATTCTCTGACTCTTAATTAGATCCCTTTCACCACATGTCCCTACCTTCATACACAATTATAACTCATTAAGGTTAATATTAATATTTCTATGATACTTAGATTTTCAGCATCATATTTATTGATACTTGGCCCTTAAGTTCCATATCTAAGAAAGTGTTTGCTTGGGGATAGCTAAAAGATAATAAGAAAAATCGCTGCAATATTTTATATATATATATATATATATATATATTCCTCTTATACTTGACTAAGTTATGATCCCCTTGAGTATATGAGGCAAGTTCCCTATGCCACATATTGCCAGCCAATAGAGATCCTGCACTCTAACTTTTGGAGTCCACTTTGGGTCCACCAGAGATGTCCCATTGCAATGTGCTTCTAGGGCCCGCCTGCCCTTCAGTTCACAGAAGTGGTTGTTAATGCGTACACCTGCGTAACCCAGTGTTTTTAAATTTACCTGGAGACCCCAACAAGCATCATATGGGGAAAAGGTTAAATATTTGGAGGATAGTAAAGCAGGAAAACAAGGTTAGACTGATTTCTGTGCTACACTGCTTCTTGGGTTTTTTGATATGCTGAGATGGATTGCCGCTCTGAAGGAGGACACTGTAGTTCAGAGCCAAGGAGACCACCCTGCTCCTGGTACTTGGATGCAGATGGCACATCCAAGCAGAAGTGAGCTAAACAAGTTGGAAAAGAATGAATTTGAGTAACTAGCCCAAAATACGTCTTTGAGGCGGTGTGCTAAAATGAATTTCTTATTTTTTAGTTCTAAGACCAGTACATAATTTCAGACATGACTGCTGCTTACATCAAAGTGAACTTAGAAATGAAATGATCTCTTGAATAGGAAGCCTCCACTGTTGTGTGGAATATATTTTGTAAATATCAGTTGTCTGCAATCTTGATTTCCTGTGAGACATTCTATTTATTTTATTTTATTTTATTCTATTTTTAGAGTGCAAAAGCAGAGCTTGAAAGGCTTCGACTTAGTGAAAAGCATGACCCCATGGACCCCAGCTTAAAAGACAGAGCTTCCATTGTAGCCCAGTGCTTGGAGCACAAGGATGAAAAACTTCGAAATCGTACCAGAAAGCATCGAAGTTTCAACTGCTTGGAGGACACAGAAGCTGAGGGCCCACATGGGCAAGCAAAAGGCTACAAAGGTCCAAAGACTTTAAGGAAGACTGAGGACCGGAATAGCAAACCTACTTTAGACCCTGATCATAAGCTGCCATCAAAAGTCATTGAAGAACTTAGTGTGGTTCTCCAGAGATCAAGAACCCTTCCGAAAGAGTTGCAGGCTGAACAGATGTTGCAGAAAGAAATAAAATGAATAGTTCCACAGATTATTTTTTTAACATGATATACAGTGAGTGTAAGCCAGAAACCAAACTGTAATTCCTGAGTTTGCTATCTGTAGACCAATTTGTCAATATTTAAGAAATTTGTCTATCTCTATGTAACCATTTAAGGAGCATTTTGAAATATGTACATATGTGATTAAGTGTAAGATTAATTTTATTTTGGTCTGAAACTTGTAAAATTCAATTCTATTAACTGTAAGAAGTCTTTGGGTTACTTTAGGTAGCCAACTCTTGGAAAGCAGTTGTGTAAGTAGGTTAATTTATGAGCAGAAATCTCAAACTGTACTGTATTGTATAAAATGCTATGTGTAAATGAAGCCTATGAAACTGTAATGTATTTTGCACTTTGAGAAGGCCTGTATATTAATTACCATGTGTTTTTAGGTTTACATAGGGTCTATCTTAGGGAAAAGAAAAGGAAACGAGTTCAGAGGGGGATCAATTTCAGTAACTAACAGCACTGACATTTTAAAGAAAGAGGCAAGAAGTTAATACATGTTCTATCGTCCAGGGAGGTGGCCTCAGATTCATTCTAACTCACTAAGGATCAGAGTTTGTCAAGGAGAGACTGCTTGTTACGAAAAAGCCCAGTGTCTATGGATTTCCCCAGAATAATAGCCAGCCAATCTGTGTGAGTGATAGCACTGGCCTTTCTCATTGTGGTGTCAGTGGACCAGCCACAGGGCGCATTCACTATACCTGACCTGTCTGGCAGTGGCTGCTCAGAGGATCCTACACTGCACTGAAGAGCGTGTGCATGGGCCAGGTAGCCATGCCATTTGCACTCGGGAAATTCCTTAGGGCTCCTAACTGTTTTTGGTACGAATGAAATTCATTGCCGCAGGGTATTTTTGTTGTTATTTGTTTTGTTATTCTTTGTTTGTCTTGTCTGTTTTTATGTAATGTTATAATGTCTTCAGCTTTGTCAGAGTCAACTGGAACTGTGTGTGGTATATGACCATTTGGAGACAAGGGCATGGATACCTATACTGTACATTTGCAGTTGGCCAGTTCACATTCCATTTAGTCTTTTTTTCTTTTTCCCTTTTTTTTTTTTAAATAAAACTGTGGTCTTCTCCCTCTACCTTTGAAAATGACAAAGTCCTCTATTTTTATGTCTACATAATGCTCAGCTACAAATTTGGCAATTTTCTTAAGTCAGATGACACTAGTTTATAAATAGTTCATGTCAAAGACAGCACTTTTCATCAACTTCTTCCAAATTATAGTAGGTTTGGTGAGTTTTTCTACCAGAAGTTATGGAGCTAAGCTTTATTACCACCATTTCTTTCTCCTCCCCTATATTTCAGGTGGCATTATTGTTTTAACTTGTTGTACTAAGGCCCATAGTTGAGTCACTCCCTCACAGGACAGTAATGCACTGTAGTTGTCTTTATTGTAAAATACTAATGACTTACATTTGTTGGAGATAGAAGAGTTTGCCAGGAGTAAGAGGAAGTGGTATTTATTCTCTAAATCCAAATAAATTATAATTGAAATAATGAATACTGCAGGGCAGTTTTTTAATAGGTGGCACTATTGGAGAACCTTCCTTTAAAGCAAGAAATGTTATTTAGGCAAAAAATTAATTTTTAGTAAACTTTCTAATAAGTAGGGATATTTATATTTTACAAAATAGTCATATGAAAATTAATATGGTTAGCGTCATTGGGAACATGTCTGAAGTTTTTACCTGCCTTACTGGATTTTTTCCTGGAAGTCAAGCTTAAAGTAGGATCACTTTTTTTTCTCATCTTTTCCTGAACAGTGGTCTCCATTTTTCAAATGTAAGACAAGGGCTAATGGTGACATCTCATATTTTGAGTAAAAATTAAAATAGTTTACAACTCCACTAGAATGTGCCTCTTTTCTTTGTCCATTACTTTCAGAAGTTTAAAGTTATTGTGAAATAAATCAAGTACATTATCCACTTTTTTAAAAGATTGAATATGATTGGTATTTCTGTCATTTTTACAAACACATCAAAAGGAGTATTATTTGATTGTAAAGGCTGAATATGTGTAGATATTACCCGAAAAGATTGAAAGCTCTCAGACTTGCATTTTTTTTCCCTAAAGTCTATTAGTAGCCATGGTTTTAAAATACTTACTTGGTTTCTAAACTTTATCCCGTGAGTCATTTAAAAAGTACTGAGCTCTCCAAGCACGAGTGGGAGAAACAAAGCTTTGACAGTTATGTAGTTCCACTGCTGATACACGTTGGTCACAGGACAAATTTTATTTCTAAAATATGCAAAAATTGTGCGTAGCAGAAGAAAATGCTTTAGGAGACCCAGCAGCTCCCGTGAGTAGGCTGCTCTTGCATTTCTGCTGAACTGTGGAGGACGATGACGAAAGCCTTTACCATCTCACGAAAATTTCCAAGGAGGCTTGTGTATCATCACGCCTTCATACATTACTCAACAAAAGACAGATTTAGGTTTCAGATGTGAACAGTATGCTGCCACATGTGCAGATACATTTATCTGATCAGCACCAAAAATGAGCTTACAGATTATGAAAATTCACTGATTGAAGCATATAGTTATTTTGGTTTAGCGATTTTTAATAAGTTCTACATTATATTGCATATCTTCATCTACCATGACTGCATATGTGATCATAAATTTTTAATAACTCATTTCCTCAAATTTAAGACATTTTAAATTATTTGATTAAAGGATCTTAAGAGACATTAGCGACTACCCTATTGGTAGTCTTTTATGGTGGCTATTTTATACATGTAAAAGTTATCAACATAGGGACATACATTATGGGTTAAGTGTATGAGAAAGATACATAGATAATACAATAGGGGCCAATAAATTATAGCTGTTAATGTGTTTTTCTAGTTCTCCTTTGATTGAAATAGGTATTTCTCACTATTGTCTTCAAACTGCCTCTAGTTTTCTTTTTCCTTTTATGCTAAGTATACTAATGAAACAGTTTACTACATGTTGAATTGTCTTCCCTGACAACGCTCATTTAGCTCTAACCTTCAGTACCTCAAAACATGACTATAGGACTATATGATGTGGTAGGTTCTTTTAAAGAGGTTTTTGAGTAACACAAGGCAATTAGAGTGAGCCCTAATCTAGCCTCAGTGGTATTCTAAGAAGAAAACATTAAGAGCGCAAAGGATGCAAGGATCCCTACACAGCAGAAGGATCATGGGAGGAGGACACTGTGAGAAGGAACCATCTGTCAGTCCAGGAGAGAGGCCTTCAGCACCATCCTACTGATACCCTGATCTTGGACTTCTATCCTCTAGAACTAGAAAAACATAAAGATCTGTTTATTAGCCACGCGGACTCGTCTTTTTCTGTCATAGCAGCCCTGGAAATCTAACAAACCACACACCATTTTTTGTGTTCATTTCTTAATTCTGATAAGCATAATGTAGCCTGGTACTTACAAGTATTAATCTTTACACTCTTGTCTGAAATCTCAGAATGCTTTTGCATGTGAGTAAAACATGATAAATGTAGGAGAGACATGTAAGGTGTGACTGCTTAGAAACTATATAGGTCATAACTGAACACTAAAATTATGCAGCCTCACCTCTAAATTGTGTCACAGCAAAATTACAGTTAGAAGCTTCTTTTTAAAACTCAAGTTCTCTGATATCAAGAACAATTCCAATTTGGTAAAGATGCTTAATCCTGCACACCATGAGAATATTGCTAATCCTAAACAACCAGTTAATAAAAGCAACACTGGAGGAGAAAGAAAGAGTCAATGCATTCAGCCCATGTGAACCAAAACATGAGCTTACATTACAGCCTTGAAGACTGGCTGGGCACCAGCCTCCATCAGATAAAGTGATATGGTCCATCTCCTCTTCCCCTGCAGCTGTTGCTGCACATCCATTTGCTTCTGTTTGCGCATTTCCACATAAGTGTACCACTGGCATCTCAAAAAGCTCTCAAGCTTTATCTGTTCTTTACCCTTGTTGCTTTCCATTTCAAAGACTCAGGTGCAGAGAGATTAAGCAGTCATTCAGCTCCAGAGGGAAAGAACTGGTGATCTGCAACCGTGCAGTGTAGCTCCAGTGACTATGAAGCTTCCAAAGATCCAAACATTAGAGAAGAAAGGAATGTAAGAATTTGCAGTAAATTGTTGTAAGTCAGGGATGCATCTTTTATCCCAGGTACCGGTTTTTACAAAAAAACTTAAAAGAAAAATGGAAATATA